TTGCCCATCTCTGTCTACTCTGTGTGTGGAGGGGGTGGGAATGTTTCTTGCTGTAAGGATTTGTTGCCTCTTTTGAGTCACTGAATTCATAGGTATAGGTCAATTCATCAGATTGAATCAGCTCGATCTTCTTTTTTTTCCCCCCATCTTCTTTCTTCTCCTGGTTGAGCTCTGATCATCCAGTCATCTGGTCCCGGTCACGTGGGTACCATCTGCAAGTGTGGGTGTTCTTATGCACATGTCCTCTCTTCTCATTAGCCGGTAGCTCCATTCTCCACTTGAGTCCTCCATGGCCACGTCATTGACTCTGGGCCCAGGAGTCCTCAGGTCTCCTCACACTGCTTGCCACCCAGGTCCCCAACCGGGTCCACAGCAGCCCACTGAATATTGTAAGGCTTAGCTCGCTGCTTCATTGCTGCCTTTACCCCACTTCTCCCCGTCAGTGATGCGTGTGGTCACCAATCCGAGCGTGCATTTCCATTGAGTCTCAGTCTTGGAAGGGGGCCTGCATTGGTAGGACCCAACCAACTGCCCCAATGTCTCCTAGGGAAGCGACCTGTTTGTTCATATAGTAACAGTCCGTCTGCCTCCATTGTATCATATTTTTCCTGTAGGTCTTTCATTCGAGATGTATCTTTTGTTCTCACTGCTCCAGGCTGGTCAAGTGGAGATTTCTCATGTCTGGTGATCTGGAGGTGGTTCTGGTTTCTACCTATAATTTTATGTATTGCAAAGGCTCCGCAGGAAGCCTTGTTCACTGGGGAATACATTGATTTTTATGTATTGTTTTTTCCTACTCTCAGATTTTATGAAGACTTTTCAATTGTTATTTGGTGTCTTTCAATGTCTTAGTCATCCCAGGAGACTCTTCTGAAGACATATAACTGTTTTTATTTACATACAGTATTTTTTATTTTAAAATGTTTTATTGTGAGATATGTGATAGTTTACATGGGAGAACATTAGCTTTACATTCATCCTGTCGTATATCTTTTCATTGTCATGGGTACAATCCCTTCTATGTATCATCAGCCAACTAAACGGTATATCCTGCAAGCCTACCCCCCAGTCATCAGCACACAGCCCCTCTCCCTCTCTGGGTCTAGAGTCCCCAGCCGC